CATTCATAGTATCTTCCTTAAGAATATTTACATTGTTTTCCTTTATTTTTATGACCGAACAATTCAGTCAGTTATAATATTGCTCACTGTACAATCTCTTTCCTGTAACTGTGTCCTGGCAAGGTTAGTGATAAAAGGTTTGATGCTGACAAACTAAGCTGATCCACTGACATGAGACCATACTTCCTGATGTAAATGGTTTTGAACTGCAGACACACTGTAGCTTGTGCATTGAACATAGGTGCAACCCAAGTCGCATGAGCAAAAACATTGTGACTCAGTGGGTATTTTCTTTCAAGCCTGGGTGCACTTGTGAGGGGATTGTTACACTCAACAGGCAAGTAGGACATTATATTACTGTTTACATGAAACATCTTTCCTTGTTCCACTGACAGTGGCTCGAGGCTCCGAGCCTGGGATGGGGAGTTCATGCTTGAGCTGGCAAACTTACTAAAGACTAAAATAGGAACATAGCAAACAATGGACCAAGGCAGTGAGGAGAGAGTGTTGATGCTTGCAGCGCAGAGAAGGCAGAGGGTAAGGGAGAGCAGGACGAGAAGAAAGCGACACTGGATTATTAAATCACACTATAGATTAAGTGGTCATCAGAGTATGCTGCAGACTATAGGCTGGTGTGTGTGTGTGTGTGCGTGCGTGTGTGCGTGCGTGCGTGCGCAGAGGGCAGCCACCCATATTACCCAGGTCAGTGGCTGTCTCATGGGATGCCTGAGGACACACTGTTAGTTTATCTGGCTGGGTGAACATGCACCCAACAGCACAGGTCTGCCAGAGCAACTATACGCTGTATTTAAAAAAGAGCCATGCTCTGTGGGTGATAACTTTGTGTTCATGTATGGTTCAGGCGTTCAAGACAATGCTAGAAACTAGGATGCTTCCCACTGACAAACCAGAAGAGTGAACCGGAGGAGAAACCCTCTGAGGAGCTGGAGGGAGCAGCAGCAGCCGCACACACTCCAGACGCATCCTGCTGATAAAAAGTGAAGCTGTGAATACACAAGTAGACAAGATTTGAGTCTTAATTTAGTTATTCCTACCCATTTCAGAACTGAATAAAGAAACAATGTGGATGGATGCACAGCTTCAGTTTCCTGTCACCTGAAAGGACTCGTAGGTTTCCAGTAGGGCAGCGTGTAAAAAACCCCAAAGTAAAACAAGTATGAAAATAGCAGCTGGACATTTTCTATACATTGTAGGAAATCCATGACATGTTTAAGTGTTTCCATTAACATAAAGATAAATGTATGTGGGTCTATATTGTGAAATATGTTGGTGCACCCTTCATGTTATCATGTGCAGATTTCTATG